AAGCATTTGGTCGATTTCTATCATCTCATGTGGCTTCATGGAAAAAAATCTTTTCTCACCCTTTACATAAAACCTTTGCCAATTATATGATTACTTATCTCCAAAGCTTCCTAGATTGTGATGCCTGTCCTTCTACTATTGACTTGGAACCATGGTCCCATACATTTTCCTTGCGAACACATTCTTTGTTTAATTCTTTATTATTCTCTTCTCGATTGAATATCACTTGGTCTTTATTGTTCTGACCTCCGAGAAAAGATCTACGTCCAGCAATTCCACTCTGGTCGATTTTACCGAAAGACTTATTCACTTCCATGAAAAATGTTCGGAAAAATTTTTGTACTCGTTTTCTTGCCCAATTGGTTACTCCGTGTGGCTCTCGGTTTCTTCCATGGAAAGATTTACGCTTTCTTAGACGAGTTTCGAATAAAGGATCTGTGCCTGCTTGGTTTACTTATTTATTTAATTTAGTTGTTATTTCTAATTCTTCTTCTTTTTTTCTTTTACCGCAATTTAGAATACCTAATTCCTATACTGTTGCTTCTATCTGTTCTATAGATATTAGTCAAAATTATTTGTTTAATCCACAATGGGCTATTTTTTTTAATCACGATACTAACTCTTTCCTTGTTGGCCGTGTGATCATTACCTATCCTGCTCCGCGAAATGAAGCTCTTATTTCACATTGGATTGCATCATCTGCCGATGACTTATTATCTGATTTCACTGCATGCCAAGGTAGTGCTTCTGCTATTCCGCGATCCTCTACCTCCAAGACATTGATTAAATGATGTCCCTCTGAAAAATGCTTCTCGTATGTGCCTTTATCAAATCTTATCCGTTACCCTACGAAGCCTCGTACTTATATACATGCAGATACTCGTTCAGTCTCACTTTCCGCTTCGTTAGGCTATGCCAAATCTTTTTTACTATTTTATCTTTTTGCTTCAGTTCAGCTACCTCCTATGCTTAACCAAGGGTCTAGGATTTCTGATATCCTACTTCCTTCTTCAGTGTCTACACTGTATATTGATGGATCCTTCCTTCCTCCTTCTAGTCATCTGACACCTTCGATGGCTTATGCATGGACTGCTATCGATTCTGATGGTTTTATTCTTGAATCTCATTATAATACCATTCCTTCCCTCTTTCCCTCTGCATTGCGTTCCAAAATTTTTGCCTTATTGCATGGATTGGACTTCCTTCCTCAGTATTCCAAGATTACTGTCACTACTGATTGTGCTCAATTAATTTCCTTATGGTCTACGTATGTGAATGCTCCGTTCATTCCTAAAATGCTTAAAGAATTCAACCACCTTCTATGGTCTTCGGCACGAGCTATTATCTCATGAAAGAATCTGGAAGTTACTTTAATCAAGGTTCCTGCTCACGCTGATGATTCTTTGAATAACCATGTTGATGACTTAGCGAAAGCTGCTCATACAGACTCACGTCTTTCCTCTATTTCACCTGCAATTTTGGCTCCTTGCATTTTACAATTTAATTCTTTACCTGTGGATATGAATATCCGGAAATTCATTGGAGATATTTTTGACGCCAAGAGTCTTTTGACTCTTGCTTTATTACTAAGATTCAATCTTAATTCCTCTATTTCAGATATTGATTAGGCTTGTACCATATTTTGTTTTAATAATAAATAATTACAATCCTCCCATCGAAATGGCCGGTCTGAATTTTGTGCTTTCTGTATCAAGATTTTATTGGATATGCTTCCGACACTCACAACTCTTCAAAGACGAAAGCCTCATATCTATGATCTGAGTTGGCTCTGTCCTCAGTGCAACTCCTCTCCTGAGACTTTAGACCACTTATGGACTTGTCCTTATATTTTACCTGAATTTAGTCCTTTTAATACTTTTAAAACACTTCTGCTGGACCTTAGAAC